ATGACCCATCTGAGCTTAGCTCATATTTTTCAACTCCTCCCTACACTTAATGATTAAAGCCCTATATTCTTTCTAATTGTTCACATCAGCCTTTGTTGCTCTTGGAATCCTTCGATTTCTGTATGCTTTTGGAACTTCTGTCGGTTATTCCTCTTAAAATTTCTTCTGTTGCTACATAATTTTATATTTGTATTGATTTCAAAGAGGAAGGGAGAGGGAGAGAGAGATAGAAACATCAATGATGAGAGAATCATTGATCGGCTGCCTCCTGCACACCCCTTACTGGGGATGGAGCCTGCAACCCAGGCATGCGCACTGACCAGGAATCGAACCATGACCTCCTGGTTCATACCACTGAGCCATTCCGGCTGGGCACTACATAATCTTATTTACCAGTACATTGCTTATTTATAAATTGTACTTATGTGTAAGTACAATTATTAATTATTAAAATAACTTAGAGACAAAATAGATTTAGCAGGAATCATGACCATTATGAATCTACTAGTGTTCAGAGCACAGATTCATGCACATTGAAAGTAAATTAATTAGAAGAAATATTTTAATATTGCTATTTGCCCTTTCTCTATAATAGAAGTGTCAACCAAATTCATGACAGATAGAAAGACACATGTTTGATTGGCGCCAGTGAGAGCTTTCTATGTATTGTGCATGCACGAGTCAACTTAGCCTTTTATAGATGTAGAATAAACTTGCTTAATTAGACCTGCTTTCTGATGTAGCTAAACTTTTTCCGGCCCAGTAAAGCACCCCAACTTCTCGTTCAGGTAATTGTCAGCAACACAGCAGTAGATATCAACATGAAGCAGATTATTATTGTAGATCACACAGGGAGAACAAAGGGTAAAATATTGAACTGCAGCAGTGTTTGACTATATTCTGCGCAGTCAGAAAACCTGAAGTTATTTTCAAGGTCCACCATTTCTTTCTTCTTTTCAGTTGGGTCAAGTTTCTAAACTTTCTAAATCTCCGTTTTCTGGCTAATTAAAAGAAAATAGGATTCTGCCGAGTCTCCTGTCTACCTACTCCAGGACTTCTGTATGGATCAAATGAGATGAGACCTGGGAAAACGCTTCACAGACATTTGGTTAAAGTGTAAAATCTTTGCACCTGGCTATAAAGCAATTCGGGTTCCTGGGCTGAAGAAACTCCAAGAAGTTTCTGATAAAACGCTAGGGAGAGGAAGCCGAGTGTTGCTACGGGACATCATTACCCGGCGCCCACAGCGACTGTTTCCAGGCTGGGCTGGGCTATGGGCCACATTTTGTGCTATGGAGTCTTGACAGTGTTGGCTACGATTTGGTGGGGTGTCGCTCAGGGTGGTGGCAGGGCCTGTGACCCACTTGGTGGAAGCCAAGTGTTGGTTTGTCGGCGCCAGGTCTGCGGTGCTGTTTCTTTTTAAATGGCCAGTGAGCATCATGGCAGCTCCTGTGTTGAGCGTCTGCCCCCTGGTGGTCAGTGTGCATCATAGCTACCAGTCGGACAGTCAGGTAGACACTTAGGCTTTTATATATATAGACTAGAAGCCCAGAGCACAAAAATTTGTGCACTCGGGCGGGTCCCTCAGTCCAGCCTGTGCCCTCTGGCAGTCTGGGACCCTTCGGGGGATGTCCACCTGCTGGCTTAGACCCGCTCCCTGGGGGAATTGGGCCTAAGCTGGCAGTCAGACATCCCTCTGGCAGCCCAGGAGCCCTCGGGGGATGTCCACTTGCCAGCGGGGAGCAGGCCTAAGCTGCAGTCAGACATCCTTAGCACTGCTGAGGAGGCGGGAGGGGCTCCCACCACAAACCGCTGTGCTGGCAGCCGTCAGCCTGGCTTGTGGCTGAGCAGACCTCCCCCTGTGGGAGTGCACTGACCACCAGGGGGCAGCTCCTGCATTGAGCGTCTGCCCCCTGGTGGGCAGTGTGTGTCATAGTGACAAGTGATTCCCAGTCGTTCTGCTGTTGGGGTCAATTTGCATATTACCCTTTTATTATATAGGATAGAGGCCTGGTGCATTGGTGGGGGCCGGCTGGTTTGCCCTGAAGGGTATCCCGGATCAGGGTGGGGGTCCCACTGGGGTGCCTGGCCAGCCTGGGTGAGGAGCTGAGGGCTGTTTTCAGGCTAGCCACACCCCCTTTAGGGAGGGGAGTCCTGCTGGGGTGCTTGGCCAGCCTGGGTGAGTGGCTGATGGCAGTTTGCAGGCTGGCCACAGACCCTTCAGGGTGGAGGTTCCTGCTGGGGTCCCTGGCCAATCTGGGTGAGGGGCTGATGGCTATTTGTAGGCTGGCCAAGCCTCCCAGCCATCCAAGCTCCCAGTGGAGGCTGGCTGTAAGCAGGTATCTGGGATTTATTTAGCTTCTATAATTGAAACTTTATTGCCTTTTTCGGAGGCCACAGCTGGCCAGAGCAGGTGGGAAGCTTGGCTTCCTCGACGCCGGGGCAACCAAGCCTCCTGCTTGCTCCAGCCCAATGACTGCCAGCCGCCATCTTGGTTGGGTTAATTTGCATATAGTCACTCTGATTGGCTGGTGGGCGTGGCTTGGGCATAGCAAAGTTACAGTCAATTAGCATCTTTGTCTTTTAATTAGTGTAGATAGAGGCCTGGTGCACAGGTGGGGGCTGGCTGGTTTTCCCTGAAGGGTGTCCCGGATCAGGGTGGGGGTCCCGCTGGGGTGCCTGGCCAGCCTGGGTGAGGGGCTGAGGGCTGTTTTCAGGCTAGCCAAGCCCCTTCAGGGTGGGGGCCCTACTGGGGTGCCTGGCCAGCCTGGGTGAGGGGATGATGGCCCAGGCTGGCCATGCCCGCGGGCTGGAAGCAGGTATCTGGGGTTTATTCATTGTCTATAATTGAAACTTTGTAGCCTTGAGCAGAGCTCAGGGCCAGCCAGGGCAGGCGGGAAGCTTGACTTCCTCCATCTCCAGGGCAACAACCCAAGCCTCCTGCTCGCTCCCTATGGCCGCCGCCATCTTTGTGACGGTGTGAGGGAGTCATGGTTAATTTGCATATTACTCTTTTATTGGATAGGATACTGTCTAAATAACTGAGATAATCCATTTCCATTATTCAGAACCCTTTTTTTTTTTACCTCCTTGAGATAAGGTACTCATAAATTCTGTGCCTTTTTTTAAAACTTGGAAGATTCTGTCTTTAACTCCATTTTACTGAATATGAGTATTATAAAATTTCAACATTTTTTTCAAAGAAGAAATATGAAGTAGTATTTGATAACTATGGGAAGAACTAAATCAAGAGAAGTGTAGTATATGTCAGGCTAACCTTATTTCAGTCTCTATGAGATTAAATATTTTAGACAAAGTTGTATGGCAAGGGAAGAGGGAAATAAAACAGTACTTCTCTTAATATCTTTGTAGTTTTCTGTGGAAAGCTAGTAACAACCATGTGGTTTAAAAATTAGCAAGCAGAAAAATCACTCATGTTTTCATGAAAACTGTCCCTGCAGAATGGCAGGCCATCACTGCACCTGGACTTCCAGAAGCCAGTGACATAAACTTTATAAAAGAGAAGTTACAACAATATAAGGAATCACTACGGATAATTTTGTTTTTTCAAAAGCACATTACTGGAATTTTAGTGCTGAGCCACTGCTGGATACAAGGGGCATAATGTGGTACATAAACTAATCCTGTGCTGCAGGAGTTGTGACCCAATAAAGATGAGACTGTACACCAGTTACTATAATGCAGCCGGATCGAGGACTCAGAAGAAAATACGTTTACTTCAGGCTCCTGCTATAGGGCAATACATCGATTTTGTTAGGGGAGAACATAAGTAGGCGTGGATGAGAGGAAAATGTTCCAACTGTTGGCATCTCTAAGTGCCTTATTAGGGAGATGAAGAATTGATCGGTCTGGTCAGACAGTGGGTTTATTTAGAAGGCAGTAGAAATCCTAGCCGATTTGGCTCAGTAGATAGAGCCTTGGCCTGTGGACTGAAGGGTCCCAGATTCGATTCTGGTCAAGGACACAGACCTTGGTTGCAGGCTGGATCCCTGGCCCTGATCGGGGCACATGCAGGAGGCAAACAACCGATAGGTCTCTCTCACATCCATGTTTCTCTCTCTGTGTCTCTCCCTCTCACTTCCTCTCTCTCTAAAAATCAGTGGAAAAATATCCTCCGGTGAAGATTAACAACAACAACAAAAATAGAAGGCAGTAGAAGACAGGGCTCAGGAAGCCATCTGGAGGGCTGGGGATTGCATCCTCAGTCGTGGTGAATGCACTAAACTGCTGGGAAAGATCCTGTATGAGGCCGACCAGCTGACGGTCTGGACAGTCAGATAGTCTATCAATTTGAATATGAAAATTGGAACTGATACTGAGAATTTAGTGAAGGTTGACATTATGATGTATAATGATTAAATTTTTAAAATTTTGTGCATCATTTCAGGAGCTGTGGGCCAAGCATTTAATTTATTGGTGACTTTTTTATTTTTAGAAGTTTGTATTACTTAACTTTTTTACTAGGAAAAATGTTTCTGTGGCCATTAGCTCTGGCATCTGAATTGGTACTGCTCTTCTGGGATCCAGAAGTAGTTCCAAAGTTACCAGGCCAGAGTTTGAGGAGGAAAGCTTAACCCTTCAGCCAGCAATTTCACATGATAAACACATTTATCTTCCGTTCAGTTCAGTTTTATTTTGGGCAAGCGAGGACTTCACATTACATACAGTTATTCCATTTCTTTCTTGGGGAGAATCAAGTTTTCGGTCAGGTTTCAACCTGCATAAACCTTCACACTTCTATTTAGATCTATTTTTATTAATACTTTTAGTTATAATTCTGCAAAAATGGTTTATGTGGGTGCTAATAGAAGCAGTCAAATGTCGGCACAATCTTAATCAGGCCAGTAACTGTGTTTTCTGGGGGTTTTCACGTATTTAGTCTTATTTGAAAATTGTATCGTGAGCAGGCATCATTGTTTCAGGGTGCCCCACCATGGTGGGAACTTATCTTAACATAGGACTTTGTTTACTTCTTCCAGGACTTTCCTCGGGGGATTCCACACCTTTAATGCAAGAAGACGTGCTAAGTGCAGACGCACCATGTGCTGTTGGTGAGGAAGAGTTAGCCGAAGGCAATGCTAATGACCAACCAGAAGCCCCGACACTGGCTTTGCAGTCTCTGTTCTCACTGATCCGTGGTGAGATGGAGCAGTTGGACTCGAGAGCACTTCCCCTTTACCTCCACCAGGTACTGGCTAAAGCTAAACCCTTCCTCTTCCTAAAATCCTGGGGCCACTGTCAGCCATGACCCGAATCCAGTCCTGTAGTTGACTCCACCCCACCTGTCCTCGGTGAGCCCACAAGAAGGGACCTGGGCACGTGGGTGATGGGAAATTTAATATTACTGAATAGTGGCCACTGAGTGGACATGGATACTCAGGCAATAGTTCCAATAACCACTAGCTTCTTTTACTTAGGGAATGAAGTGTTCGCAAGTTAGAGTCCATGTAGCAAGCACTTAGTGAGCACCAGATAGGTGCCAAAAACAATGCCAGGGACGAGGGAAGCAAGGTTAGCTACAGGTGTAGCCTTAAGAGAGCCCCTGTGGAAGAGGAGAAGCAGCTGTGTGGGTAAATAATTGTGGACGTCCGAATTCAGTGTTGGTGTAGACAGGTGTTGAAGCCTAAAATGTGTGGTTAATTTTGTCCCGTAGATATTATGGACGTGCAGGATATGTAGGCCAAGCATGTCAAACTCAAAGGCTAACACAGGCCAAATAAACGGGGCATGCAGCCGCGGGCCATGAGTTTGACATGCTTGATGTAGGCACTTTGGGAGAACAAAGTGAGGGGGTGCAGGAAGAGAGGTCACAGTGGGGTATATCGCTGGAGATTAACATGGAAAAGAGATGGGAAATGAAATTGGGTGGCTGGTGGCACTGAGGCTTTTGGGGACTGGGGGTGTATAATTAGGGGAGTGCCAGAATCAAATTTGAATTTTAGAAATATAGCTCTTCTGATGATGGGAGGGTAAATTAGGAGATGGAGAGCCTGGAGATCCGGAGGCCTTTAGGACAGTGATAAGGGAGCTTTCTTTCTTACACAAAAGCTAATTCAGAAAAAAAAATAACATATTTATGAGCTATGTTTTATTTTCCCTTAAAATGAAAATAACTGGTACAGGGGAATGGAAAACGCTTGGCCTTTTTCTTCATTTACTTCTGTTGCATTTTAACTTTTGCAATGAGTAGTAAGTAATTTTTGACTTTTAAAAAGTAAAATATAAAATAGCTTTTGCCCCAAGGCAGGAAAATGTATCCTATATAATAAAGAGCTAATATGCTAATGGTCATGACTCCGCCACGCTGTAACGACTGATCAGCAGGAGGCTGCATGCGAAGCAGGTGCAGGTGGGCGGGGCTGCGTGTGCGGTAAGGCACACATGGGTGGGCGTGGACTTGACTCTGTGTCCCTGCCTGGCACCAGCCAGGGACTTGATGCTGCATCTGGCCGGGTCTGGGTCTCTTCCCTTTTAATGTGCATGAATTTCATGCACCGGGCCACTAGTATTCTTATAAATTTATATTGCCTCCTTTGTGAACCTGAAGAATGCCTTTGAGAAAATGGGTGCTGCTTTTTGACTCTAAAACCTTCAAACTTGCCTGGTCAGTGTGGCTCAGCAGTTGAGTGTCAACCCAGGAACCAAGAGGTCACGGGTTCGATTCCCCATCAGGGCACAAGGCCAGATTGTGGGCACGGTCTCCAGTGTGGGGCATATGGGAGGCAGCCGATCAATGATGTTCCTCTGTCATCGATGTTCTATCTCTCTATCACTCTCCCTTCCTCTCTAAAAATCCATAAAAAACATATTTGAAACCTTCTAGCTTGCCCTAGTTGAGAAGCGGCTTTCTCATCTTTCAGCCTTCTTTGTATTTGTACAGGAGAGACTTTGCAGAAGGTCGTCACACTTGTTACTTCATCCTCCAAACAACATAGGGGAGTAAGGATTAGCATCAGCTGTTTACAAGAGGGAACGCAGGCTCCTTTACAAAGCAAGCTTCTTATCATTCTGGCCTGGAATTGGTCTGTCCCATTCATTGCATGTGTTTTTGTAACAACTTGGGTGAAATTTGAATCTGGGCTATTTATTAAGTTACATTGTTTAATCACATCTCATTTCTTGAGGTTGACAATATAATTGTAGGTTAGGGAGGAGAGTGTCCTTGTTCTTGGGAAACCACATGCAAGTATTTAGGAGTGATGTATTTAGGAATTGCTTTGAATAATGCCAGCAACTTAAGGTTTTTCCATTGGAAAAAAAATACGTAAGAGAGAAAGCAAATTTGGCAAAATGCCAACAATCAACGAATCTAGGTGAAAGATACATGGCTGTTGATTTTCCCATTCTTTGAACTCTTCTGTAGAGTTCCAATAAAAAAAAAAGAGAGGAAAGGACGTTTGGAGTAGGTGGAAATAACAAATGTGGTCAGATCTTTTCAAGGAGTTTATGTCACTGGGGTGCTGTTACATTAAAGGAGAGAAAAATGCGCTTAGCAATTGGCAGGCGATCCTACAGCCGAAGCAGATCTAGTAGAAAAATCACATTTTCGGCAGGAAGATGGTAATGATCATGATCAGGCCTGAAGATTATTTAATTTTTAATATCTCAAAGGAAAATTCTGCCCTCGTTCCCAGGAACATACCAGTGAGCTGAACCCTGTAGGTTACGCTTCTGCAGTATCTCAGCATCGTCTCTCCTGGCAAAGGAGCTGGGCACGTACAGTGGGCTTGAGAAGTACGGGCTTTGGCTCTGCCTCTGACATGCTAAGTGCCCTTAGTTCCTTCTGGGAAGTTGTAGAGCAAGTGAGATAATGCATGTAAAAGCACTTAATGTAGTGCTTGGAACACAGTAAAAGTCAAATAAATATTAAGCATCACTCTATTCTCACTGTCACGGATTCAAAGATTGCTGTTAGAAATGAGGCCAGGATCAGCAAAGCCATGCTGAAGATGCAGCAACTGAGCCATCAGGGCAGAGAAGCAGCTGACAGTCCGCAGCCCAAGAAGACAAAACGTCCTCCTCCCTCCCAAGGGAGGCACAAGTCAGGGCGAGACGAGTGACGTTATTCATTTCAGTCATTCCCAGCACCTCGCCCTGTGCCTTTCGCCTGGACTCACCAGCTGTTGACATTTCACCAAATTTTTGCCCTCTCCCCCCACATATTTTCCATGGAAGCACTTTTCCCCACATCCAAACCCGGTCAGCAAGTCCTGCAGATCTACTTCAAAATATGTCCAGAATCTGATCTCCTCGTGCCTCCTTCATTGCTACCATCTCAGTACAAGACACTGTCGACACTCATCGTATTCTTGCAGTAAACGCCTCACTGTGGAGACCTCTCTGCTTCCTCTCTTACTTCCATTTAGTTTTTTCCCTCCGTACAGCAGTCACTGTGATCCAGACGAAATGTAAGTCAGATCATGTTACCCCTCTGCTCAAAGCCCTCCAGTCCTCGCTTCTCATTTAGAGTAGAAGCCAGAATTCTTACCGTGGCCCGCAAGGCCCTGCATGATCAGGCTACTTCCTCTTCGACCTTCATTCCTAAAACTCTCCTTCTCATTCACTCCTTCCCAGGAGAGAGGTGGAGGGAATCTCCAGTGAACAGAGATTCTAAGATGAACCCTGAAGTTCATCCAAATTCAATCCTAATATCTACCAAGAAGGAGAGGGTAATTAGTCAGTCCTGTGTGGAACAGATCAGCAGACTCTGAAGAGAGACTTTTATACCATTTTCCTGTTTCAGAATACTTGATGTGTCTGAATATACTGAAAGAAGATTTAGGCTCTTAGTAGAGTATTTGGGGTTATTCAAGTGAGAAGTGCATGGAAAACTATGCCCAGACAAAAGGAAAGGTAAAGAAAAAAGTAGCTCCAGGAAAAAGTAAGTTTTTAGGAAAGGAGAAATACTTATAGTTTGGCCCATAAAAGGTAAGCATTAAGTATTTGTCTACCCATTGCTACAATATAACAACATGGGTTGCTGAATATGTATGAGAAAATAGTATATGTGTTTGTCAGATTGAGGTAGAGGAGAATCAAGAGTCAATATTCGCCTTCTACTAAAACTGAAAAATTATGAAACAGCAAAATAAACATAATGTTTAGAGACATAGAAGTTAAAAAAAAATAAGAAGAAAAAAAAAACAGGTAAAAGAAATCTAAGTGCTTGCCCCTGAAGGAAGAAAGGAGTATAGAGCAAGAAGGTGGGGCTTTCTTAACACACCTTCGAGGGCCATTGACTCCTGGGACCATGTACAGTCATAATTTTGATAAAAATGAGAACTAAAGGGTGACATTTGTAATTTAACATAAGGTGAGGAGAGCATCTAGGTGAAGGTAGTGACAGTGGAAACAGAGGGATGACTTTGAAACCTTGCAAAGGAAGAATCACTAGGGCTTGGTGCAGACAGCAAAAGGGCGTGAGAGAGGAGCCAGAGGCAACTCTAGGATGTGCAGTTTGGAGGAACGGTGCGTCCCATTAATAGAAATTGGAGATTAAAGAGGGAGCGTTAACTTGGGGATGGTTATTATTTTTAAAGTGATACCATGTGGCATATCCCTAAAGGCCATTGGAAATATGACTGCAGTTACTTTAGACATTACTTTTAACTCTTGGGACTCGTAACAGACTCCATTTGAAAATTCTGGTTCTGGGGTAAGAGTAATGTTTCATACACCGACTTAGTTGACATGACTGCGGTTAGCTTTAAGGTGTGACTGAAGTCTGAGCCTGGGAGTGAGAGGAAGGACATCAGTGCTGTGGTCTCCGTCCAATGAGCTTTTACTGAAAAGCATCGGACTCAGGCAGGAAGTGCCTCCCTGGGATCCTGAAGCCCCTCTGTGAGGTTCTGGCCGAGAGCTACACCTTCCTAGGTCCCTCCTTGTTGTCCTGGCAGGTAGAAGCCGGAACCAGAACACCTTACAACTTCTACCCTCCCAAAGTGACTTTCAACTTCCCTCTTCACCTGATTCTACTCTGCATCTTGCACTCCTGGTTCAGACTCACATTCAAACACCACTTTAAGCACTTGCTGGTATGTGCTAGGCGTTGTGCTAAATACGCACTTGCAATCCTACAGCAGCTCTGTCTCATAGAGTTGTAGATATTATTGTCATACTAGAAGCCCAGTGCACGAAATTTGTGCAGATGGGGGGGGTCTCCTCAGCCCAGCCTGTACCCTTTCCAATCCAGGACCCCTCGAGGGATGTCCGACTGCAGTCGGACATCCCTCTCACAATCCGGGACCACTGGCTCCTAACTGCTCACCTGCCTGCCTGCCTGATTGTCCCTAACTGCCCCCACTGCCAGCCTGGTCACCCCTAAATGCCTCTGCCTGCCAGCCTGATCGCCCCTAATTGCCCCCCATGCCGGCCTGGTCACCCCAACTGCTCCCCCCAGCCGGCCTGGTTGCCCCTTACTGCCCCCCCTGCTGGCCTGGTCGCCCCCAACTGCCCTCCCCTGCCAGCCTGGTCACACCTCACTGTCCCCCATGCCAGCCTGGTCACCCCTCACTGCCCCCCTGCCGGCGTGGTCACCCCCAACTGCCCCTCTGCCGGCCTGGTCGCTTCCAACTGCCCCCGCCACCCTGGTCGCCCCACACAGCCTGCTGTTCAGTCGTTTGGTCATCCCTCACTAACCCCCCTGCCGGCCTGGCCACCCCACACAGCCTGCTGTTCAGTCATTACTGTTACTGTGACGGTGTCCTGGACAATTTGCATATTCCTCTATTATTAGTATAGATGTGAGACATGAAATGACATATCCAAGGTCACAGCTGGTAATGACAGAGCTGGACTACAATGCAGTCACGTTATTCACCTCTGATCCCCACGTTCTCCCCGATTTAGACACATGGGACCTCAGAGAAAAAATCATACCTTTTCTTGCCCTGCTGGGCTCAGCAGGTTAGGCTTTCACAGGGGAAGCACCCTGTGTATTTGTTTCTCAAGCCGTCCTTTCACCCGGAAATATCTCTTGCTTTAGAGACATGGGTTTTCATGAGTCTGTCTTCATGGTTGCTTTTGTGGTATTGGAACTGCCAGAAACCTGAAAGCTAACTGAAATCTATGTTTCTCTAGTGCCAGGAAATGTGGGTCAGGATAGGTATGGGCTCCATCAATACTTAAGCGAGAGCAATTTATACACAACTACGCCAGTGATGCACAAGTGCACAAAGGTCAGGAGAGTCGCTCTGAAGAGCAGACAGCAGTCCTGATGGGCAACCATGTCTCATGTCACGAATGGCGGGGAAATCTGTGCCGTGCCATAGATTTTTCACTGGGAGTTTGTGGATGAAATGTGGTCACTGATCTCTATTGGGTGTAACGCAGGGTGTGCGGGACCTACTAATATGCCAGCTCATGAGAACCATATGCAGTGACATCCGTCATGTTGGCAGCTTGAAGTCGGCCATGATGGCAGGATTGACATCACAAAAATGAGCAAACACTGGCAATCAGGGCTCTCCCCAACACTCTGCAGCCGATTATTAAACGTTTGGTTGCAGTTTATGGAATTCTCATTTGAAGGCAAAAAAATGGTTGAATATTGACAATTTGATATGGTTCAAACTAGCACTGTGATAGCATACTATTAGTACAATGAGCTGATCAAAGACATGCAGGATCTTGAAAATCAATTGTTCCTTTGTAAAGTCCTAAGAGTAGAAAATAAGTATGGAATCAAACTTCAGGTTGAACTAAATATTCACAGAAAGGTGACTCTCTATTGCTCATGGGAGAGGGTTATGTGTATAGAATACATTTTAAGTTAGGTAAATATTTTCCTTTAAAAGCACCATGTTTCCACTGTGGGATCTGGAGAAACCACTCCTTTTCACTGTTGGTTTATAGGCTTGACAGCTAGCCTATTGCTGTTGACCTTGGCAGCTACCTGGAGCATGGAGGTGCAGCTGCAATGAGACATTGTGTTAGAAGTGTAAAGTGCTTATAGGAAACATCCCAGATACGACAACAGTTTAGGCAGGTATTTCTCAAAAAATATTGTTTTATGGTTCTGTTATAAATAAAGGCCTAAATAAAAGATTTAAGTTTTTAGAATCCAAGACTGTTTAAATTTAAAGGCGCCTTAGATTAATATGGTAACTGACAGGCCTCACCGGGGACCAGACCCTGGCGCTCTGGACACTCCATCCAGTGCCCTTTACACTGTGCAGCACTTTGTGTAGCTTCCAGGCCTCATTGCTCAACTCCGAGCACGTGGCCGCCTTTTCTGTAATCAGAACAACAAACGTGAGTGTCCCCTGAGGTGGTTTGTGAAACAGAAATGAAAGGATTGGGGTTGTGAGGTCTCATGTGATGTGACATATGTCAACTTTTTAATTGACAGTAAACAAAGTCATTCTTTTACGCATGTCATATCTTTTTAAGCCTCTGAAGTATTTTCCTCATTCTTTAGAGTTCTTACTTGTAAACTCTAATGAATCAGTGAAGTTTGCTTTGGCTGGAAATAGAATAGGAAGAATGAGTTTGTATAAAGACCAAAGAATGTCCTGTTTGCTTTGCTTGATATAAGTGACTTCAGCAGTGTGTTCTGTGCCTGCAGTCATTTCTCCTGAACTGGTAAATGTAGCTAAATAGTTCTCTTAGTTTGATATTACTAAAGGCTTTCAGCGTTTCAAGGTTGCGATTTCTTCCAAATTTGTCATTTCATCCGAATATTAACTTAATGTCTTGTTTTTTATTTTTAACAGATAGCAGAGTCCTATTTCCAGGAGGAGGACTGTATCCTTTTCTTAATTACAGGAAGGAATTCATAGAACTTTTAGAAAACTGTACATTTTAAAAACTTGAGTTTTACATACAAGAAAATGTATAGATATGTTATTTTTAGTAAGCTTTAATAGTTGCATGCACCCATGTAATCACCTCATAAAGCAAGCTGTGGGGACTCTCTGTCACTCCAGAAAATTCTCAATAAATGAGCCCTAATTTTTTTAAGTATATTTTTTATTAATTTCAGAGAGGAAGGAGAAAGAGATAAAGAAACATCAAGGATGAGAGAGAATCCTTGATCAGCTGCCTCCTACATGCCTCACACTGGTGATCGAGCCTGCAACCTGGGCATGTGCCCTGACTGGGAATCGAACCGTGACCTCCTGGTTCATAGGCCGACGCTCAATCACACCGGCCAGGCAGTTCTAATTTTACCAGAATCTAAGTATTTGTGTGTTTTGGGGGGTTGGGGGGGTGGGGGGAGGAGGAGAAGCACATTGCTGAAAAATATAATTTAAAAATCCATTGGATTTTCTTCCTTTTGAATTAAGCAGAGTTACAAGTCAACCAGTATTTATATAATAGAGCCTGGCAAGCATATTGCACATAGTAGATCTCGCAACTGTCCCACATACATCTGCAAAGGAAAGATTTCATTTTTCATTCATAATAAACAGAATAAACATTGTCAAGTGAGATTGTATGTTAAATTTTATATGGGAAAGATTCTTCCCTCAGTTTTCCAATTTCCCTTTTTAAAAACCACTCTTCTTTTTGGGGGATGGCCCAGTATGTACTCTCTGGAAAGGCTGTATCAGAAACATGTTTTCCCCATTCGTGCAGTTTTTCCTCCTAACCTGGTTGACTTCCACCACACCTCTGAGCAGATTGAGGGATAGGCAGTTGCCCCTGAACTCTACCAAGCCAGCTGGTAACACTGTCAGACAGTCACAGTTTACACAGAGTCCGTAGAAAATCCACTTGTGGCGGAAATGAAGCTAGAACACTTGTTTTTTTAACTAGAGTGGAGTATGGTGTAGTGCAGGGCTGACCAGCATCAACATCTCTGGGAGTTTCTTAGAAATGCAAGTTCACGGGCCTTAGAATCAGAACTGGCGATCAGACCCATGAATCTGTATTTCAGCAAACTTTTCAGATTATGTACAATTAAGTCAGAGGTTCTCAACCTGTGGGTCGCGACCCCTTTGGCGATCGAACGACCCTCTCACAGGGGTCACCTAAGACCATCCTGCATATCAGATATTTACGTGACGATTCATAACAGTAGCAACATTACAGTGATGAAGTAGCAACAAAAATAATATTATGGTTGGGTCACAACATGAGGAACTGTATTTAAAGGGCCAGAAGGTTGAGAACCACTGAGTTAAGTAAAAAAATCCGTAGACTGTAAGTCATGGGCAGGGGAAAGCTGACTGACTTGTCCCAGCTTCTCCCTGGCCTGGTTTATGACCCCTGGCATATTTTTAAGGCTACAAATACGAAGCAGACCTCTGAGTGATCTTGAGAAGGACACAAAGCTAGACAGCGTTCCTCGTCCTTCCCCTGGCTCGGCATCTAGGACATGGCCCAAAGGAAGGCAGACAGTTGGGCAGCTCACCACGACCTCATGTGATGCTAACTGTGTGATGCAGATGGAGATGGCAGAAGTTTATCAGAAAATCTGCAGAATTTCACATAATTATGAAAATTACTGTGGCAGGTTAGTTAAATTTTTACGGAAGATTCCTATGTTTGGCTCTGTCCTCGCTTAGGCAGGTAACCCTTTGGTTTTGTGAGAGAAAAGCATTCAGTGAGAAGTCAAGGGAAATCAGAAGCAGGTTGACAGGCGAGAGGGTAGCAGTTGCTGGACAGAAAGTAATTTAAGGAGAGGAAAGAGGGAAACAGATTCCAGGATTCCGTGGGAGTCCCGTTTCCAATTAAATTACATTTAATTGACGGCTAGCGATAGATTAGCAAACAGGCATTCCTGAGCATTAAAATTTCCTTTTAGCTTCTACTGTTTGCTGATAGAATGGAGCCCACGTAGCTATTGCATAATATGCTGCATTAAAATGTACCCACTTCAAAACCAAGAAACCTTACTTACGTTTAAACTAAAAAATATTTAGAGTCCTCTTATTTTTTTGATAAGCGTCAAGTTTCACACTTTATATAGGACATTATTCTTCAACTATGTGGCTAAGTGTAAATAGCGTGGATTTCTATTTTCCTCAAGTTTTCTCTTCAGATGAGAAAGCAATGAAATTCATCCAGCTTGAACGACTGTATCATGAACGATTGCTTGCCAATCTTTCTGCTATTCAAGAACAATGGGGTGAGTACAGACTAGCAGAACGTGGAATTATCAGCAGTTTAACAAGTTGCTATCTAAGGAGTTAACGCGTTTGACTGGGTTTTGTAAATCAGGAAAGAAATGTTTCTACAGTCACGTTACTGTTGCAGAGAGAGTAGCATTTTCACCACAAGCAATGCTATTGTGAGAAAATCTCTCTTTGTATTCTGTTCTTCATATCAGTGCCACGCAGGGAACTCCTGCCACCGTTTGCATTTCATCTGACCCCTTTGTATGTCCCACTGGCTCATTTAGTCTCCGAGATAGTATTGACTTACATTGAGAAGTAATCACTTAGCTGTTTCTAACGATATTAACTTATGGGTTTTTGGAGAAGACAGTTTTGCATGCTGATCTTTATAAGTGTGCCAGTTAACTATTTTCCCTCCTAAATATGATTTGTCATAGTCAGTGACTAACAAATATTTTAAAATTAGAAACAAAATGGAAAACTGTACAGCCACATGCAGCCACGTCTCCAAGGAATTCAGAAAAGGGATTTAATGGTGAAGATTTTGAACGGCTTTCCAAATTTTGCGCAACACATCCAGAGTAAGTATTTCAGCGTTTGGTTGGGATGGGCTTGGATTAGAGTATTGAAGAACCATTGTGGCATTGAATATTTGAAATACAAGATCCATTTCTGTATTTGTTTTGTTAATGCTTTCAACTGGAGAAATTAGACTGGGTAAAATAAAATGATTAGGTTTCTTTCTCAGCTTTTATCTGTTTCTTACACCAAGCACAGTGAAAGGTCAACTTTACAGAGGTTCAAAGTACTTTTTAATTAGAAAATTTTTTGTGTCCCCCTTTTTTTAACTAGAAATTTTTAAATATAACTTCTACTTTTTAATCTCTTATTGGTTAAGAGATTAGGCAATTCAGATGGAAAAATTGTGTATTAGGACTGTTGGCCAATATTTGTAAATTATAGTAAAAAACATTTTTTAAAGAGTAGTCTGTTAATGGAAACAAATACAATATTTAACCAAAATAATGCAGAAGGGAAATTACATTTACCAGATAATTTTTAATTGCTTGATTTTTATCGAAGAATTGGTTCTTTAAAAGCTCAATTACAGTAATAATAAAGCACTTACATATGTTTTTAATTCATATTTTAAGACTTAGAATTCAAAAGCTGAGGGGCATGGTCATGATTAAACTGGTGCAGAATGAGTCTAGATTCGGAAGTGATAACTTATTCAACTCTCATGGTGACAGTTTCCTTGTGTTGGTCACTTTGAACCTTTGAAACCAAATATTATGGGATTTTGCACTATAACCTAACTTCTTAGCCTGTTAAATATGTTACCTTTCAACTTCCCAGAGTTTTAAATTAATGGAATTTTTAAAAGCAAATCGGAGATTTGTTTCGAAATATTCAGTACAGACACTTTCCCTGTCCTTCGCATGGAACTAGTTTTTTTCCTGCGTCTCAGCATTTGTAGTTTATTTGGGAGGCTTCAGTAGTAATTGGTCTTGGAGGAGATGAACACGCTGTCGCCGCCTCTGCGTTGAGAGCCAGCGCTGCTGTCCGCAGCGGGAATGTTCGGTGCTAATGTCAGAACCCTGAGGAGCTGTAACTTTTTTACAGCATTTCAGTGACATTTGTTTGGAAGCATATTACCGCTGTCATTTTTGTTTAACTCTTTCTTTTCTCTCTTCTTTCCCTACAGTCCTCTTTTATCCAACTCTAAGGTAAGGGATTGTTTCTTTGGAAGTATTTAGAGGGGAAATGTTGTGTCATGCGTCTATAGTATGAACTCTTGTAGGAAATAAGCGTCTTTCACCTTTCCATGTTACTGCGATCGTTTCCCCAACTGTGTCTTTTTGTCTTGTTCTGTGTTTCACTGTAGACAGCAGCTGCGGAGACGGCCCTGGGGAGGGAGAGCTTTGCGCAGTCAGCGGTGTCGGAGGGTCCCCGGGGAACCGGAGCTGCAGCCGAGGAGCCGGGTATGTGTTGAAGGGAGAGGACCCAGAGCCGCTGCCCCTAACAGTGTTTTACAGGTGCTGCGTCCGAATTGCTGTTACATCTGAAATGCTGTGTTGACTTTTTTAAAAAATATATTTTATTGATTTTTTACAGAGAGGAAGGGAAAGGGATAAAGAGTTAGAAACATCGATGAGAGAGAAACATCGATCAGCTGCCTCCTGCACACTCCCTACTGGGTATGTGCCTGCAACTCAAGGTACATGCCCTTGACCGGAATCGAACCTGGGACCCTTGAGTCCGCATGCCGATGCTCTATCCACTGAGCCAAACCGGTTAGGGCTGTGTTGACTTTTCTTTTTGCACATACTTTTCCTAGACAAATAGCAAAGTAAGTTTTTTTTTATATTATGTAAGTCTATTTTTTAGATATCTAGTTGTAGAAATTATAAAATCTAAATTCTTGCCCTGACCGGTTTGGCTCAGTGGATAGAGCGTCCGCCTGCGGACTCAAGGGTCCCAGGTTCGATTCCGGTCAAGGGCATGTACCTTGGTTGCAGGCACATCCCCAGTAGGAGGTGTGCAGGAAGCAGCTAATCGATGTTTCTCTCTCATCGATATTTCTGACTCTCTATCCCTCTCTCTTCCTCTCTGTAAAAAATCAATAAAATATATTTTTTAAAAAAAAGGACTTGGTTTCCAAGGATTTAAAAAAAAAAAGAATTTTTTTTAAAATCTAAATTCTTATAAAAACATAGTTATTTCCATGTTTTCAGCACATGGCTGTCTGTGTCTAACACAGTATGACAAGATTGTACAAAAATGCTCTGAAATAGAATTGGTTTGGGTGTGTTCAGACATCCTTTTCTGTTTAAAAACCAACCGTTATTACATAGACTTAACCAAAAATTTGTCCTGTGTATCTAAGTATTTAAAAGTTATTGATAACTTACCCATAGCATTGATTTCCTTCCCTTTTACATTGACTAACATGGTGTACTTTAACTTGCATATATACTTCAGAAGCATTTGTGATATATTTTGTATCACTTTGTGACTTACGTCAAAAGTTTAAGATTTTTAGAAACTGTTTTTTACATTAGTAATGTATGTTCATCATAAAAAACTTTAGGAAATAAAGATAAATGAATACATTTTAGGGTGTTTATTTTTCCTGATGTATGCTTTTTAGTACTAATTTATATCCCTGGGATTTACTTTCCTGAGCCTGATATTAAACAGCAGCATCAGGTGTTTGGACTGAGTTGCCTGAGAGATAAAATGGTAATGATGCTGCCTGCAATTCAATTCTCCTTTTTCTTTTTATAAAGTCCTTTTTCGTCCCCTACATCTCACTTTATCTCTGTTATTTTTATGAGGCAAATTAAAGATAGTGCCTTAGGTCAATTCTGTTCTTGCCGTCTCTTCTGTTCTATTTTTATATTGGAAACCAGAGTAAAATGAGCCTCATAAAAATCTCAAAGAGGGAGGAAGTCGCAACATGGCCACCTGGTTGGGCATGGCCGTGTCTCCGTGTGGCGCACATGGGACTGCTCTCACGGCTGAGTAACTGAGTGTGGCACTGGGGACTGGTTGCATGCCCGGCACTAGCCGAGCACTTACAGCTTGGCCTCAGCTGTGAGATGTGTTCCCAACGGGAAAGCTGAGACACCACGTGGAAGGCACTTGCTTGATCCTTTGATTCACTCCTAGGACCTGGGCCCTCTGGTTTCTCACTAAAGGGCAGCGTGCTCTGCCAGGTCAGTGTCTGGGTTACAGAGACGCCACGGTGCACATCCCGGGTGTGGGCTAAATCCGCGGCAAGAAATCTGGCCAAGTCCGATGAAACAACGTCTTTTAAAGAGAAATGTCAGATCTCCCAGAATTAGTCTCCTCAGTTTGGCTATTCTGTGAATAAATACAAAGAACTGTAAGAATATGAGAAAAAGAAATGAGAAAATACTACTTTAAATGATTTGAATATGATACATTATTCTTGTTTTACTTCATATTCCTCGTTTCTAATAATGAAAGACATGTAATGCAATCTAGACTTTCCTCTTTCCTTTTCTTTCTCTCTGCATTCCTTCTTCTGTAATAGGTAACTTGCTGTTTTTTTGTGCGGTGGTTAAAGACTGTTTCTACAGCCAGTTTCTCTTCCCTTTTATGTTGACTAGCGTAGGGTTAAGAGTGTAGAACAGCACCAGGGCCACAGTAAGAAGTCAGCGTGTTCTCACTGCTCTCATACTCCTCTTCCTCCTCCACATGCTGTCACTGCCCCGATAGCAGTGTTCTGTCAGTGTTCTCCACGTAGCACTCATTGCCACTTTTCTAATTAATCTCCCATTATTAAGTCTTCAGGTAATTTGCATAGTATTTTATATTTTCAAAATACTTTTATGTATATTATTTCATCTGTTCCTCTTAACAATCAATATAAGGTCTGCTGAATCATTTGAAGAAATTCGAGGAAGTGAAGTGACTTATGCAAGAACAGAACTAATTAGAACCCAAAGCCAAAACAGTTTTCTGACCCTGTGGTCCATCATTTTTATTAACTTATATTTTTATTGATTTTTAGTCATATTTTATATGTAGAAATAATGTTACCTACATTATAAGAAAGGATAACAAAGTGAAGGCCTATGAACCTAATACCCAATAAAGGACTAAATTATTGTCAACCCTGAGGGTTGGGGGAAATCCTGAACTTCAGATTTATCATTCCCTTCCCATTTTTTTAATCAGCTTTATTGACATACAATTTCCATGCAGTAAATGTACCTGTTTTAAGTGTGTAATTTGATGAGTTTTGACAAATCTGTGCACTCATGTGACCACTACCCCAGGGACGATAAGAACAACATGTTTCCCTCTATAGCCAGTCCCCCCCACCTCCAGTGCCAGGCAGCCAGTACTTTTCTGTCATAGATGAGTTTTCCCTGTTTTGGAATGTAATATAAATAATATTGCTCAGCGTATGTTTTGGATAGTCACCCATATTATTGTATGCATCATTAGTTCATTTTCGTTGCTGAGCGGCATTTTTTTTCTTTTTTTACTATACCACAATTTGTTTATCCATTCACTTGTTGATAAACATTCGGATTCTTTCTAGTCTGGGGATGTTATGAATAAAACTGCTAGGATGTCACTCTGTGGATGTATGCTTTTTTTTCTCTGGGTAAATAATTGAGGCTGAGATTGCTGGGTCACAGGGAAGGTACCTGTTTAACTTTATAAGAAATTGCCAGGCAGTGTCTTAGTGTGGTTGTGCCATTTTGTACCCAACACGCATTATATGAGAATTTCAGCTGCTTCACCTCCTTGCTGACATTGAATGTTGTCAGTCTTTTATATTTCAGTCATTTTAGCAGATATGAAATTATGTCATTGTGGCTTTCACTTGCTTTCCCCTGATGACTGGGCATATACATTTTTAATTTTTAATTAACCTCTATAGAAGATATACTAATTTATACTATTATCAACATTTCGGACTTAGTTTAAGTATGTGTTTTACTCTCAAATATTTACTGTGAAAATTCTCTTTTTCAAGCCTGATACCACTCAGATGTTCATGCATAATGTTAATTAATGAGATCTTCAGAACATATAAGGCATAAGTGTTAATTCATAAATGCTTTAGGTCCCATACCATGAAATATTTGGAGGGGGGAGTCCCTAAAGAGAACATTGGGAATAGGCTATGAAAGAATAACTTAAAGGCATGTACAGAGCATGTGTAGGAACTTAGGCTAAGTCTGACTTCTCATTTTAGAGCTATCTCTTTAATTCATTGTTTATGAAGTGTCTGCTGTGCACTCAGCCCTTACTCCATTTTTATTCATCAGAGTAGGCTTTCTGTGTGTATGTCTGGTTTTAGTGAATGTGAAGTTAGTGCAGTGGGGTGGGGTAGCAAACTGAGCTCACTAGATTTTTGGGTTCAGAAGTGCCAATTAACAGAAATTCATGTTCATGTTAACAGAAGCATTAACAAGAATAAGTTTTATATTATAACATACAGAAAATATTTTGGGTCAAGCATGTGGATCAAACACATCCCCACCCCCACCCCTTTCCTGGAACACCATTAAAACATCAGACAGGGATTCTTAAAAGAGAAACCGCAGGACAAACTGGCAAGGACATAGCAGCAGATGTGACATCCAGGAAAACTGGGAAGCTGGAGAGTAGATGGATGGGTGACAGCTGGCTAAGCACCAGAGAAAGCTGTGGCTACAGAGAAAATGCTGGTTCCTGTCTGGAAAGGTTAGGATTGGGAGCACTGAGGACACCTCTGAAGTCAAGGATATAAGGCCCTAGAGTCTGGCTCAGTGGATAGGGTGCCGGCCTAGGGACTGAAGGGCCCCAGGTTCGATTCTGGCCAAGGGCACATGCCCGGGTTGTGGGCTCCATCCCCAGTAGAGGATGTACAGGAGGCAGCCAATCAAGGATTCTCTCTCATTGATGTTTCTCTGTCTCTCTCCCTCTCCCTTCTCTGAGATAAATAAAAATACATAAAAAATAAAGACAAGGACGTAGGGTTGGACTGAAAACAGGAGGTTGGGCTGAAAGGCGAGTCAAGAAGCGCTGAGACCTTGGTGTTCCCTCTGCGAAGCAGAGGCTGCAGGGCTACGTGTTGGAGAACATGACAGAGGAGTTGTGGGCTCAGGGGTCAGGCACAGCTCAAGGAAGGGCTATTACATAGAAAATGAGGATTTAATGAAAATCTTATAGACTGGGTGGTGAGTCCTGTAGCCTACTTTCTGCGTTTAGCATTTAAATATGTGGCAGCCAAATCTCTTTTTTCCCTCTCTGGGAAATGAGCTACTAGTCTGGGAGATAAAACCTCCAGAAACCACGGTAAGGGCCTCCCAATGAATGGCCCCCCCGCTTCGCCCCACATTGAGGCCGACTCCTGGGGAAGGCTCGCCTTGAACCACGGGGCTGCTTGTTGTCTCTTTAAGAAAACCTCAAATAGAAAAGATAGAGACAAAGTCAGGTAGACAAGCCAAGAGAAACTCAGAGGAAACAAAATGCGGAGAACAGACGAAAACTTTTTAAAAATGAATATTATCACAGAGATTAGAGGAAATATTGTATAAATGAAAGCAAAAAAAATGTTTTATTTTTTAATATTTTTTATTTATTTTAGAGAGAGAGGAAGGGAGAGGGAGAGATAGCAAAACATCCATCAGTTGCCTCCTGCACGCCCCTACTGGGAACCAAGCCCACAAGCCAGGCATGTGCCCTGACCTGGAATCCCACTGGTGACCTTTTGGTGCACAGGACGATGCTCAACCAACTGAGCCACCCGGCCAGGCAAAATGCTGTTTTGTTGTTGTTGTTTTAATTTTTATTGACTTCAGAGAGGGAAGGAGGGAGAGAGAGAAACATCAATAATGAGAGAGAATCATCGATCGGCTGCCTCCTGCACGCCCCAAACTGGGTATCAAGCCCACACCCTGGGCAGGTGCCCTTGACCAGAATCGAACCCAGGACCCTTCAGTCCGCAGGCCGATGCTCTATCCACTGAGCCAAACTGGCTGGGGAAAGATGCTGGTGTTTTTTTTTTTAAGAAGCATTCAGAGAATTAAACATCTATAGAAATGTAGAAGTATGATAGCCAATAGCCAATATCAAAAATTAATTAGAAGAATTAAAGGGTGAAATTGAGGCAGTGTCCCAAAAAGCTGATCCAAAAACAAAGAGATGACAGAAAAGGTTGAGGTGATCAGTCCATGGGGCCCAAGATCCTACTGCAGGCATTCGAAAGGGAGAATGGAAGGAGCAGGGACAGCCATCAAAGAAATAATGCAAGGGCATTTCCCAGAATTGAGGTCGTGAGTTTCGGATCGAAAGTCCTACCAATGCCTTAGCCCATGTGGCTCAGTGGATAGAGCATCAGCCTGCAGACCAAAGGGTCCCGGGTTCAATTCTGGTCCATGGCACATGCCCGAGTTGTGAGCTCGATCCCCATTAGGGGGCATGCAGGATGCAGCTGATCATTGATTTTCATTGATGTTTCTATCTCTCTCTCCCTCTCCTTTCTTCTTTGAAATCAACATATATATTTAAAAGTAAATAAATAAAAATGAAAAAGAAAGTCCCACCAAGTACCCAACACAAAGAACAAAAAACTTTGTGAAGTTTCAGGACAACCAGATGGAAAGAAAAAGAATCTAAATCCTCCAGGAAAAACATGTAGGTGAAAGGGGTTGGTATTCAGATGGTTAAGAAACGACATTCCTTCTGGGAGGCAGACACAGGGCAGCAGTGCCTTCCTTCAGAATCGGAGGGAAATATCTGACCAAGAAAACTTGACCCATGTTTTAGGGGCCAAGGAATAAAGGCTTTCAGATGTGAGGAATCCTAAAAAGGTTACCGGCCAGGGACCTTTTCCTAGGAAATGCTCCCCAGGAGGGAATAACGGAAGAGGAGACCTGGGATCCAGAAACCAAGGTGTCCAACATGGAGCCTCCGGGATTCCCAGGACCAGGGGTGTCAGGGCACCTGCGTGGCACTCCTGGGCGCAGCCCCAGGTCAGGCCTCAGGAGGAGGCTTGGAAACTGGGAGACTCCCTGTTGCCATGGTTGTACATGGGTCAGAGCTGAGAGAGACATAAGGAGAGATTTTTTTAATGAAGTCATGGGTCAGTCATCAACACCAAGGAAAGTCGAGTGGGAATGAGAAACACGCCTCGTGGTCCACAGTGCGGGTCAGTGCGCGCACCATGGACAAGGCCACGAAGGGGGACATCTGAACCCTGCGTTGCCCCGCGGGTGGAGGTGCAGTGGGCAGCGGGGGAGGAAGTATCTCCCCGCGGAGGGTGGCAGCATTGTTGTGTCGCACGTGATTCCCATGTCCGCTCTCTGCCCTCCCGTACCAAGTGTCTCGAATGTTAAAACAACTTGTTTTTCTTCGTCTTCAGAGCGCGGAACTTGCCCTGGCATGGAGCCAAGCGGAGAGAGCCAGCGGAGGGAGGAGACCCCGGGGAGCGGGCCGGGCTGCGGCCAGACGGCCAGGCGGGTGGCTCCGCCGCGCCCTCCGGCAGCTGCGGGCCAGGACCGCGCCGAGGAGGAGCCGCCGGGCAGCGCCGCCGCCGCCGCCGCCGCCCCGGAGCTCCCCGCCCCGGCCTCCCAGGCAGCCGGCACGCCCGGGCCGCTCGCCCCCGAGAGCGCAGGGGAGGATGGCCGCCGCCCGCAGCCGGCTCCCCTGGAGGCCCGCGGAGCTGAAGACCCCGCGGCGCCCCCCTCCAGCGAGGCAGTGACGGGGCCGGAGCAGGCACCCCCTGCACCTGGGGCTCACCCTGCACCTGGGGCTCACCCTGCACAGGCTCCCAGGAGGGACCTCCAGTTGCCACTGCCAGATGCTTCCGCAGACCCCCCTGCGCACCGGGAGCTGAAGGAGCCGCCGCCGCAGCCCGAGGGGCGTCTGGCCCCCGAGGGGCGGGGCGACCCGGACCCGGACCCGCGGGTCAGCCGGGAGGCGGAGGACTACCTGAGCAGCCTCCTGGCGGGGTGCCTGCGGGGCGCCGAGGACTCCCCCTCCGGCGAGGAGGACGACCCCGACCTCCTTCCGGACCTGTCCCCCGACGAGGCCTCCTACAGCCTCCAGGACGACCCGCCCTCCCCCTCCGACGGCAGCCTGTCGCTGGATGACCTGGCGAGAAGGATCGAGGTCGCGGAGGTGAGCGCTCGCCCGCCCCCGCCCGGGAGAGGGGAGATGGGAGTGGGTGTGCCGCGCTCTGCGGCCCCTTTGTAAGGCCCCCCCTGGGCTCGGCATGCGGGGGTCCGGGTGACGGAAACTGCTCCCTGCGAGGAGTGTCGCCTGTTTCCGTCGTGTTTGTGCTCCCGAAGGTACTCGCACGGGGCACCGCTGTTGTGCTCCTGCGGCTCATCCGCAGGCCGAGGAGGGTGGCGCAGAGATGAGTCACTTCGGTAGAAGGAGGTCTCGTTTTTCTTCTCCATCTCAGATGGAATAGAATGCACTCTCTGTTCCTTCCTCTTACTGATGTGACTTTAATTCTCTGAAACAGTGTAACAGGAAGGAAACGGTCTACATGCAGTGAGGCTAGGAGATGCTGGGTGGGCTTTTAAGCCTTACCTTGGATGCTGAGTGTTCTCTTTCGCACGGTATTGATTTACAAGGTCAGGGTTTGCACAAACGATACTTGTACTTGACAAAGACAATTATTATAAATAACGGAAAGTTTTAAACTTCCTCTAATCATTAATGAGTCTAATCGAAACCAAAAAGAAAAGAGGGGAAAAGGAAGAGGGGATGAGGATCAAGATGCCATTCTCCTTTTTTTATTTTAAAATTCAGGAAAAAGAGAAGATCTTCCTAAGGCTCTTCGTGTGGCAGGTGCTGGGGGGCAGTGGGGGGAGGTGCTGGGGCAATGGGAGAGGTGCTGGGGCAGTGGGGGGAGGTGCTGGGGCAATGGGGGGAGGTGCTGGGGCAATGGGAGAGGTGCTGGGGCAGTGGGGGGAGGTGCTGGGGCAATGGGAGAGGTGCTGGGGCAGTGGGGGGAGGTGCTGGGGCAATGGGAGAGATGCTGGGGCAGTGGGAGCAGGTGCTGGGGGCAGTGAGGGCTGTGGGAGGTGGGGGAGGTGCAGGGGGGAGAAATGCTGGGGGAAGTGGGGAGCAGATGTTGGGGGCAGTGGGAGCAATGGGGGAGGTGCTGGGGCAGTGGGGGCAGGTGCTGGGGAGCTGTGGGAGGAGGTGCTGGGGATATTGGGGGGGGGGGAGGGCGGAGCCAAACCGCCTAGGAAAGACAACTTTTAATCTGAAAGAAGGTTAAATATGTTCCCACCTTCCGTCTAAATTGACATTTACTTAGATATCTCAAATCTACCTGTTTCACAGACACAAAATAGGGGAAGACATAGCCTGAAACTTTCTGTTGGAGAGAAAGATGACAGCCCAGAGCTGCTGTTAGTTTTGTCTTAAAGAAGCCATCGAAATAGGGTATAGATCACTGGGGTCAGGGAAGTTAAGTGGCGTTAAGACTAGTCACCGTGAGATGCCCGAAGGTGGGGGGCTGGGACTAGCAGTAGAGTTCATGAAATCGTGTGGGTGCCTGTTCTGTGGATCTCAGACAAAGGAAGGTCTTAGGCACAGTCGTCCTGGCTGTCCTGCCCAGAAAGGCCCTTTCAAGGGGGCGGGGTCCGGCTCCCTGACAGCAGGAAAGGCGGTCCTCCAGTAACAGGGAGGGTTCGCCGGAGACAGTGGACCCGGGACTTAGGTGAGTGGCCACAGCGCCCCAGGTGTAACCCACAGACTGTGTCTCTTCCTCGTGCAGACGCCTCCTCTTGGCCTGTCTTCCTCAGCCGCCCTCTACCTGCCCTGGTTCACGGGTGCTCCTCTGGGTTGGCATTCTCTGGCCCAGCTCCTTTTCCTTTCCACTTTAACCTTCTGTTCATTTACATCTTTCCTGCCTCTTCCTGGGCTTGTGCAGCAGCTGCCTAAACTGGCCCATACTCCTGTCATCTTCTCCCCCAGTGGTCTTCTGTTAGCTCTGCATAAACCTGGGGTCTCCAGCTGATGCCCCCAGGGGCCAGGCAGGCAATAAACGTGAATGAAACGACTTAGTTGTAGCGTGAAAAGGAGAAGGTTCCCACGCCTTGTCTAGGGTATCCGGCTTCATAAAACACTGCAGGTGAAACAGCACCCCGCGGGTCCCGGTCTCGCACACACTGCCAGTTTAAACGGCTCTACACTATTGTTTGCCTTGTCAGTCTCTTCCCTCAGCACCTTTCCGCTGCAGGGTAAAGGCTGTCCTACACGGCTCGGTATTCAGACGTGGTCATCGGGCCCACTCTGCCTTCCCAGCATCTCCTCCTCCTGCTCCTCTGTTCTCAGCCCGGACTGGAGCCAGGTGGGCCTCCTCGCAGCCTCCCAGGTGCACCTGGCATGCTGTCACCTCTGACCTTTACCTCTGTGTCGCTCTGCTCTGGGATGTGAACTCCTTCCTTTCATACATTTAATTCCTCCCAACGCTCAAGATCTGGGTCGTGCCTTTTCAGCATTCAGAGGGCCAAGCGCAGTGCCGGCTCATGATCAGCTCTCAGTAAACGCCAACAGCTGCTATCATTCCCTGATCACTGAAGTCCCTAATGTTTATTCTCTTCACACTACGCCTCTGAACTTCAGACGAGGGAGTGGCTTCAGCACCATTCCTCCTAAAGTCCTAGCTGTAACCTTTTTTTTTTTTTTTTTTTTTTTTGAGTATATTTTATTGATTTTTTACGGAGAGGAAGGGAGAGGGATAGAGAGCTAGAAACATCGATGAGAGAGAAACATCGATCAGTTGCCTCCTGCACACTCCCTACTGGGGATGTGCCTGCAACCAAGGTACATGTCCCTGACCGGAATCGAACCTGGGACCCTTGAGTCCGCAGCCTGACGTTCTATCCACTGAGCCAAACCGGTTAGGGCTGTAACCTTTTCTTGTTGTTATAGGACACACATGCGCACGCGTGTGCATGCACACACACACACACACAGAGTCTGCACTAAATTGCAGAAGGGTAGGATCCTGTTGAATACTTTTTTGTGTGCTCAATAAAGCAGACTTTACAGACTAAATAGCAGCCACCTCTACACAGTAAGACTTTTTTTTTTTAATCTTTTACTGAGTTCACTTTGAAAAATAAATAACTTGAAGGGGAAAGCTATTTGTCTGTATGTAAATGGCCTATCTATGTATGTACTCATTTACTCAGCGTATTTATTGAGCACCTACCACCTCTGCCTCGTCCCCGTCCCCTTTGGTAACCGCCATACTGGTTTCTCCTTCAATGAGTTTTTGTTTGTTCTGTTCATTCCTTTGTTGCTTTCTGTGTATAACCCACAGATGAGCTAAATAATATGGTTCTTGGCCTTTTATGTCACAAAAGAAATACTGCCATCTGTGACAACATGGATGCATCTTGAGAGTGTGTATCATGCTGAGCAGTAGGTCAGACAGAATAAGCAAAGTTCTAATCGTCATTAAAAGTAAGAACTTCTCGCCGAAACCGGTTTGGCTCAGTGGATAGAGCGTCGGCCTGCGGACTGAGAGGTCCCAGGTTCGATTCCGGTCAAGGGCATGTACCTGGGTTGCAGGCACATCCCCAGTAGGAGATGTGCAGGAGGCAGCTGATCGATGTTTCTCTCTCATCGATGTTTCTAACTCTCTATCTCTCTCCCTTCCTCTCTGTAAAAAAATCAATAAAATATATTTTTTAAAAAAATAAAATAATAATAATTTTAAAAAAGTAAGCTCTTCTTCACATTAGGAAGACGGCAGGAGGTTTCATCTCGAGTTTGGTTCAAACTCTGCCAGTCGCTGCTGCAACAAGTTGAAGCGTGTCATCTGGGCTCTCTACGCTTGGCTTCTTCGCCTGCAGAGGGGGCTGCTAATGCTGTGTTAGTCACAAGGATTAAATGTGACATATTATGTAAATGTCTGTATATGACGTATAGTTTCACTAAATTATAGGTTAATTTTTATCTTTATTGATTTTACAGAGAAAGGGAGAGGGAGAGAGAGGGAGAAACATCAATGATGAGAGAGAATCATTGATCGGCTGCCTCCTGCACGCCTCACACTGGGGATAGAACCGGCAACCTGGGCATGTGCCCTTGACCGGAATCGAACCTAGGACCCTTCAGTCTGCAGGCCGACGCTCTATGCACTGAGCCAAACCAGCTAAGGCTACATACAGCCCATACCTAAAGGAGCAGGCAGAGGACTCACGGGTTCCTTCAGTGCAGAATAATAGTGGTAAACTTCACATGTGCTCCTGCAGTGAGATTACTGGCACTGAGGCTAATGTTCGTAATGGGCTGATATGACTTAGGAATGTTAATTCTCGAGTTAGTTGGAAGCCAAACATGTGTTCGTGTTCAAAATTTACCAGCCTTGAGGTGCTGGTCTGAGTAAAGCCTACCTCATTAAAAGGATATTAGTTGGCATCTACTTTCTTCAATTTTGTGAGGAGGCAGTTCTAACACCAAGATCTCTGAATGTTTACTTTGTCACAATAGGATTTACTGTACCCATAGAATTGCAAGATAATTTTGTTTTTACAACATTTTCATTCTTTATATGCTATTTAAGATGATCATTGGTGTTTGAGGGGAAGTGCAGAAGAACTATTTATTAGCAAATGTAGAGGATGAGGCCGGAAGGATGTGTTGTTATTGTTGAATTCTGCATTTATTCATAGAGTACCACCAGTGACAATTACATTAATTACAGCTTGCACATGCTTTTAGTTCAGAATGGAAGGAAGGGCTTGGTATATTTTGTTTGGGTGGCAAAGAAATTTGGTGATTCAAGTGGAAATCCAAATTTAGTTTATAAAGGTTTATTTTGTTGAAATTTAAAAATTCTTAACCTTTTATATCAACATTATGGTAAAAGGGGGCATAGAAATGTTTGTGGGTTTTTTTAGAGGAGTTTGGAGGAGACACATTTCCATGTGTCCTAAATCAACGGACATCCTGCTTACAGAAATGCTGGGCAGTCCTTTGAGTGACACCCCAAACTAATATTGAGACCTTGTTTTGGCCTCCTTGCTACCAGAGAATTAAGGAAAAACCTACCAAAGTCGTGTCTTAAACCGTGACTGCCTTGGTGTGGGAAGTAGGAATTTCTGTCCTTGGAGTAGGTTCTGAGACCTCGGCCTAAAACTCTTGCCAGAATAGCAAGGCCCACACCTACCTGTCTCCTACGAGTTTCCTCCTTGGCTTGCATCTCCCTGTTCTCCATCCATAGACTAAAGGGCCAGAGGGCAGTTAGAAATGACACAGAGAGAACCTGGAGAAGAGCCCTGAGCAACACCGAAAGCAGAAATGGAAAAGACCTCACTGTACTTCAGACAACAGGCTTTGGTGGGAAAGAAAATGTAGGTATCCGGCCGGTGTTGCTCAGTGGTTAGGCATCAGCCTATGAACCAGAAGGACACAGTTCGATTCCCAGTCAGGGCACATGCCCGGATTGAGGGCTTGATCCCCAGTGTGGGGCGTGCAGGAGGCAGCCGATCAATGATTCTCTCTCATCATTGATGTTTCTCTCTCTCTCCCTCTCCCTTCCTCTCGGACATCAATAAAAGTATATTTGAAAAATAAAAAGAAAATGTAGGGTGTATTAGATTTTTAATCAAGAATTAAGGGTTGGTGGGGGAGAGTGTCAAAATATTGGCCCATCCCACCCAACTGTCATTTCTCCTATTTGACCTCTTCCCTCTTTAAAAAAGTTCCAATGTTCATTGCCACCCATAGTGAATGAGGTGGGGCCACTTGGGCATGACATTCAGAGTCAGACGACCCAGAGGAGGCCCAGCAGGACCAAGCACTGCTGCACTGGGACTGGCCGGTCCGACTTGGAAGCACATCCTGTGTCTTTCCAGATGATTTCCACAGTCCTGCTCATTCTTTCGACATTCCTTCATTCATATTCACAGTGTCTTTTGCTTTATGGCGTGAATTTACGGATTCAAAGTTCCTATCACAAAGGACTACAGTTAGCCACTCCGGGCTCATCTCAGATTGTTTATTCTGAGTAATTAAGCAACTTGAAAACGCCTGTGGAATGTGCAGTCACTGCTGGTAAATGTACGGCTTTATTTTGTGGAGAAAATAGTCTATGAAAACCGCATTCTTTTTACATTGACTAAAAGCAGAAACGTCATCGGTAGTAGTGATGCACTCATTGAGTTAATTTCCGTTCTCCTTCTCTTGCTCTGAAGGAAGCCATTAGGACTTACTTCCCTCTCCGTTTCCGCGGGAGCTGGTCAAACCACTTTTCTGTGTTAATGGAAGGGGCTCTTAACGTTGCTTTCTAAAGCGAGATTGGAAAGGCTGCCTCTTGCATATTTGTACTTACCATGTTAATGTCACCAAAGTCCTTTAGTTTTCTCACAAAGACGTCATCTGAAATACATATTTCCTGTAAAAAGAATAAATTGCTAACATCGATTTTTTTTTTTTTTTGAGGTAATGGATTCTGTAGTCCCGTGTTCAGGAAAGCCCCGTAGAGGACTGTAATGAGTTATCTGGCCCTAAAAGCCTAGAGTTATAAAAAGAACTGATAGAATCTGTAATATGTATGCATAGCACATTATCGGGCTGGAACGGGAGCTCATATTAGTGTGTTATGCCATCAATCAGCTAAATGACATGACAAGCTTGCAGTCCTCACTCACAGGGATCTGATGCCAGCCAGCCGCTGACCTCTGCAGTGTTAGGCCCACAATGCCTACCTATGCCATCACCCACAGCTGCCCAGGCAGGTGGCTGGCAGGCTACCCTCGGTGAACCAGCCTGCTGTGTAGGGGACCTTGACAAGGCCTCCTGCTTCCCGGCCTGGCTCCACCAAGGATCTTTCCTCATCCTCCCTGTACTTCAGAGCCTTGTCACTCCTAAATGGCAAAGGTTTTGGTTTTTGTCTTTGTTCCCAAGTAGGGGGTGGGGGTTGGGTGGAGGCAGGAGAGAGGAATCCCAAGTGCAAACCAGAGGAAACAGGGAACGGGGCTGGTGGGAGATGCTAGACAGCAGCCTTTTTTGAAGGGTCAAATAGTAACTATTTTAGACTTTGGGTCTGTTGCAACTACTCAGTTCTGCCATGGTGGCCCAGAAGCAGCTGTAGGTGAACGGGCTGTGTCCCAATTGACTTTCATTGCATTCAAAGACGCGGAGGGCCTTTGGCCGACCGGCCATGGTTTGCCAGCCTGTGCACACTACCAAGTGACAAGCCCCGAGTAGCTGGCCCTGAGGGAGTCTGGAAGAGAATCCTTAGAATTCTCTGAGCATCGAGCATTCCTTAGCAAATGCGTCATTTCCCAGAGGAAAGGAGGGCAGCACTCATTGCGATGTTGAAAGTGGGTATCCAATACATCTTAGGTCTCACGTGTTTATTTCTTGGAAATTACCGACGAATGAAGAAAGCAGTGGTAGATGCTCAGCCTCTGTTATAAAGCAAAACCCGGCACCAATGACTAAGCAACGAGGGATCGTAAGTGACCATTTTCCAGGGTACTGAGCAGGGAGGGGGAGCTCCGAGGCCAGGGGAAGGGGCCTGGCCTGGCCTCAGCCCGCTGCCCCTGTGCTGCCTGGCCCGGAGCCAGTTCGCAGCTTCAGAGAAGCCGAGTCAGACATGCTTGGCCGTCATCGGCGTAGAACCGGACATATTCTGTTGGATTTTGACGATGAACTGTGATTTTAAATCCACAATGGAAATTCAGATGCCCATTGAATTGAATCAGCCTTGTTACCGTCACATGTAAAATGCCATGGATGTTTCCCACCCGGATTTAACAAGTGGTTCCTGTCACCCCTGCCAGGTTGCTCCTGCTGCGGGACTGGTCTCCATATTAAAGAAGAGGAACGACGCCGTGGGCGACCACCCTGCCCCGATGCAGCAGAAGCCGCCCAAGCGGAGGGTGCGGTTCCAGGAGATGGACGATAACCTGGACCAGGGTGGGTACCGCTCAGCCCTGTGCCTGACACGGGGGCCCTTCCCGTGTTTGCCGAGAGTGGGTCAGTGCCCGATGGAAGGTGACGGGATTTGTAAAAGGAAATGTGGGCGCAGATGTTTTAGCTTCCACAACAGCGGTTCTCAACCTGTGGGTCGCGACCCCTTTGGCGGTCGAACGACCCTTTCACAGGGGTCGCCTAAGACCTTCCTGCGTATCAGATATTTACATGACGATTCATAACAGTAGCAACATGACAGTGATAAGGTAGCAACGAAAATAATGTTATGGTTGGGTCACCACATGAGGAACTGTATGTAAAGGGCCAGAAGGTTGAGAACCGCTGTAGAAAGAAGCAGAGAACTGAGCTGTCGTCGGTTCTTAAAGATTCCTAGGCACTGTGCTTGCTCAAATCAGTGAACAGGTTGCAAAATTCAACTCCTGGCCTCCTGATCCCACAGGTAGTGCTTGGTGTTCAGAGCTCATTTCCATTTCCCTGTTTATGGTTTCGTTGGGTTTTAGTGAGTCTGCTATTTCTGTCCGCTTTTCAACAGCAGTTAATTGTCCTATCTCCTGTGTGTGGGAAACATTTATGGATTACAAGCTTATTCTCTTCGGTGATTTCTTGACTCCGTAGAAGGAAGTGTCTCAAGGGGCAGCAGTTTAACACTGTGCTATTGTTGGACTTTCCTCCTGGGCACCAGGTAGTTGCTAGGCTTTCCCTAAGGCAAACAAGAGTGAGTGGAAAGATAGCCAAAAACCTGTGTGTGCGCTTCTCCTGTTTATAAAATAACAGTGTGAACATGTAGATATACTTGCTAAGTATGGCATAAAGTGATGGAGGTTTCTAGATTTCTACAATTAGGAGCCTTGGAAATAATCTGTTCCCACCCCTCATTTTAGCTCTGCACCTTGCTCGTAACTCTCACTTTCTCCTCCAGATAAAATGCGTAATTCTTGTTTGCTCTCATGGGCCCTGAATGGTCCCGCTCCCAGAGGAACCCTGGGTTCAGACCTCACAGTCCCGTTTCACTTAGTGGCCCTCTCATCTTAGACCAGCAGCCACATGTGCCTGTGCACAGTGTTTCAACACATAGATAAAGCAAATACACGTTTATAGGTAAACTATTTATATGACTATGAAGGAAAATATGGAAAGATACATAAATTATTAACATAAATAAGGTGATGGCAGGGATTCATGCCAAAAGAAGAAAAGATGGTAAAAATACTGACCTGACACAACACACACACACAAGACTGATATGATCTGTATTTGTATAAAATGAATTTCCATATCTGCTATCTATATAAAACCCTAATATGCAAATCAACCAAATGGTGGAACAACCCATTGCTATGACATGCACTGACCACCAGGGGGCAGAGACTCAACACAGGAGCTACCCTGAGCCCACAGGCCCCGACCAGCAGCAGCAGCGGGGGGCAGGGCTAGCGAGCGGGCAGCACCAGGCCAGCCAAGGTGGGTGCCAGTGGGGGCCCCCTGGTCACCCCCCCAGTCACCCTGCAAATCAGCCCTGATCGCCAGCCAGGTCTAGGGACCCTACCTACCCTTGCACGAATTTTGTGCACCAGGCCTCTAGTATACATATAAACTATTAAATTTATTTAACTACTAAAATCTATTAAACTATAAATTTGTAAATCACAGAACAATATGATAACATAATCCTATTTATGTAAAAATCCTGAAACCCTCTGTGTTTGACTTGGAAGGATACACACCAAAATCACCAGTGTTTGCCTCTGGGACAGGGGTGTGATTGGGTAAGAGAGAAAGGGAGCGTCCCTTACACTCAGGTGTTTGAATTTTCACAGGAATAATATATCCACATATGACTGTAAAATCCTCTCAAAGTAATATGCTAGTGATGAGAAAACTCAGACAATAATGAAGAGTATAAGTTCTTTTTTCATTGGTTTGCCCCGAATATTGAAAGAAGTTTCTTATTATCCTTTTGAGACACATTCTGTATATGCATCTGCAAATGTGCATACAGTATACACACACTGACACACACATCTTTTTTTTTTTAACACAAGTGGGTTCATTATGTACTATTATGTCACTTAATTTATCGATCTTGGACATCTTCCTGTGAAAGAACATATTAATTTACTTCATACAGTTGCATAGTATTCCATTATATGAATGTCCCACACTTTGACTGCTCCATTGTAACTGAAACGATTAAGCTCTCCTCAACGTTTTGTTGTTACAAACATGCCTGTAAATATGATACAGTGTGCTGTGCGGATTTGTAGGCTAATTCCTGGGAGTGATGTGCTGGGCTAAATGACCTGAGGCAGCCTGTCTACACCTGCTGTCCCAGCATTGTCTTCAGTTAACATTCCTTTTCACTCTCAAAAGTGCCCCAGTATGGCCCTAGCTGGTTTAGCTCAGTGGATAGAGCGTCAGCCTGTGGACTGAAGGGTCCCGAGTTTGATTCTGGTCAAGGGGGTTGAGGGCTCGATTCCCAGTAGGGGGCATGCAGGAGGCAGTCAATCAGTGATACTCCCTCATCAATGATACACCATCATTCTGATTATAAAACTTTTTAGTCCTTTCCAAATATTTTTAAATTTTCCTTTAATAATGAATGATCATGAAGATGGCCTATATTTCCTCAATATAGAAAGACTGATGTGGGCATTTTCATTAAAATCAAACCTGCCAGCCTGGCCTGTGTGGCTCAATGGTTGAGCATGGACCCAGGAACCAAGAGGTTACTGTTTGATTTCCCGTCAGTGGGGGCGTGCAGGAGGCAGCCAATCAATGATGCTCTCTCATCATTGATGTTTCTGTCTCTCTCCCCTGTCCCTCTCTGAAATCAATAAAAATATTTTTTAAACTGCCCGAGTTATTAAGCAAAATACAAAGAAATCACTGTATTAGCTGGAATTTCACTATTCCACTAAACAACAAGAATGAAATTGAGTATTAAGATACGAGAGTGATCCCTCCCAAAGTCGTTTTTTATTGTCTAATGCCAAATTGACGTTGCTTTAAGGTGAGGTGGTCCCATGATTCCAGCGCCAAGATACTGCAGTAGTGAGTCTATAATGTGTATCTAAACAATGCTGTGAGCACATCGAAGCAGCACTGCCTTTCGCTTTCCTTCTTTGTTCACGGGAGTGATCACATTCATGGTGCAGGGGAGCTGCTTTCACACTGGGCGTGGACAGGCTGTGGGGGCGCGGACAGGCTGTGGGGGCGGGGACAGGCTGTGGGGGCGCGGACAGGCTGTGGGGGCGCGGACAGGCTGCGGGAGCGCGGGCAGGCACAGGAGCGTGGACAGGCACAGGAGCGTGGACAGGCTGTGGGGGCGCGGACAGGCACAGGAGCGTGGACAGGCTGTGGGGGCGCGGACCGGCTGCGGGGGCGCGGGCAGGCACAGGAGCGTGGACAGGCTGTGGGAGCGCGGACAGGCACAGGAGCGTGGACAGGCTGTGGGGGCGCGGACAGGCTGTGGGGGCGCGGACAGGCTGTGGGGGCGCGGACAGGCTGTGGGGGCGCGGACAGGCACAGGAGCGTGGACAGGCTGTGGGGGCGCGGACAGGCTGTGGGGGCGCGGACAGGCACAGGAGCGTGGACAGGCTGTGGGGGCGCGGACAGGCTGTGGGGGCGCGGACAGGCTGCGGGAGCGCGGGCAGGCACAGGAGCGTGTCCTGTGTGGCAGCTAATCAGCAGGGCCCTGTAGAGCAGAGGCGCCTGGCTTGGCGTCCGTGCCTCTGTCCCCAGAGGACTATTAGGAACGCCTGTCTCTTAATCGGAGCAGGCCGTGGGCGCGCGGATTTCCCGTTTGTGCCACTGAACCGCCCTCTGTTCGTTCTCCTGTTTGCAGATGACGCTGGGAGTGGCTCCTGCATCTTACTGGTCTTGCTGTGCGTCGCCACGGTTCTGCTCAGCGTGGGAGGAACCGCCCTGTACTGCGCTTTCGGGGACCTGGAGTCGCCCGTGTGCACGGACTTCGCCGACAACGTGGACTTCTACTACACGAAGCTGCTGCGGGGCGTGGCGGAGCTGAAGCACTGGGTCCGCCTCTCCTAGCGCAGCAGCGGCCGCACCGCACCGCACCGGGCAGCGAGGGCCGCGGGGAACTCACTCTCTAGGCGGCTCTGATTTGGGGGGTTGTGTACCGCGCCCCGCCCCGTGAGGAGCCGTGGACGTCAGCAACAGCAGCTTCAGCAGGAGGCCCAGGGGGACTGGCACCATCGCGCAGGGAGCAGCGGGGACCTGCGCGTCGTGGGGGCAGGAATGGCCTGGCCAGCCTCCTCCCGGCCGCCTCCGCGGGCCGCCGCGCTGCGTTAAACGGGAGTGTTGCAGCCACGCGTCCTTAGCTTCTTGTCAAGCGGACACTTAATGACACTTGGTTTCCACTAGTTGGTCCAAAGACGTCGCTTCCAGCCATCACGCAATAAGTGTGGGTGTGATCGAGGAGGTACCGATGTGTCCATGTCTCTTTTCAGTTGGCCTGGAGCGCTGTGTAAGCGAGGCTTTGCGCGTCATTTACACGTTCTGGTCTCCGTTTGTGGAATGGTTGGGTGCACATGCGTGGGTGCGTGGGTGCGTGCATGTGTTTCAGTTAGTCATGAGCAAATACCCAACGCAAAATAACAAAAAAATGACCTTTATTCTTTTAACTTGACTATAGATGTGCAGGCACAAATCTTTAGAGCAGGTTTCACTGTGGAACCGAGGAGATGTAGAGATGTTGGCCCTGGAAGGAGGCGCTGTGACAGATCTGCAGCGATTGATTAACAAGCCAGGAATTAACTACAGAGCTGGAGGTGACGTTCAAGAGCTCCCTGAGTCTCAGGCAGGCCGTTTCAGCATGCATTCGAGGCCTGGTGGAGCATGATGAATGCTGGACTCAATTCAGCAAACGCTTACTGAGCACCTCTTAGGTTCGGAGTCTAGGAGCTGAAATACAAAGATAATGAGATACCAGTTCCTGCCCTAGAGGTTTTCACTCTGGCCTGGTGTTAAAAAGATACTTTGGCAAATGAAAGTAACTCACCATACAACTCAGTGTCAGCAGGTCGTGCATTCAGAGGTTTGAACGTGCATTCATGTCACAGGCTCGTGCATTCAGAGGTTTGAACGTGCATTCCTTTTACGGGGTCATTAAACAGAAAGTCAATCATGTCTTAAATAAACAAATGTCTGCATTTTGTTTAAATCTGTCAGTTACGTGGCATTTCCTTTTCTGAGGTCGAAGCCTTGCTGTGGCTTTTTATAACATAGGCAGCATTTTAAAAGAATCAGAACATGAATTATAGTTTTTTAGCAAGTGATCATTACTTCATGTTTTTCTGTCAGAATCACGTGAAAGAAAAAGGGAGAAGTTACTTCCTAGTTGTTACTGGCTGGTACAGTACCCCTTCATGTTCTGCTTATTTATTTAGATTATGTGAATTTTGAAGGGCTTTTTATATGTGTTGAAAGTGTGTTTTTGAGCATGCATTCGGTTTTCGCAATGTAGATATTTAATTACTGTGTACTTAGTATTTTGATTTCCTATAAATTCAATGTCTCATGTTTTTAGGCTTGTTTCTTTTTAAATTGATGTTTGATTTTCACTCATAATACTGTTTGACTTGTCTCATGTCACCATAAACTAATATTTTCAAGGATTATAGATCAAAGATATTTATTTAGAAGTATACAAGATACTGAAATTTAGATTCCTTATACTTAAGGCTGATTTTATTAGAAGGTTATTTTAATGTTCTATTATAAATTTTAAGAATTTGTATTCAAACTGTATGTAAAATATGTAAATGTCAACGGTACTATGTTAGATGGTTCTATAAAAGACATTCACCAAGTCTGCCGTGAGGGGTGCCCCTGTCATGGACAACCCTCTTCCGTTTCACCCTCTTGGTTCCTAGTTATGAGAATTTCTGAGTCTGATTTCTGACGGTTTTATGTGAAGATAAATGAAAACTTCCTCCTGCTCTCCCCTTGAGTCGCTATGGAAGTCCTACGTACCCCGAGTGTCTCATTTGCCTGGAGGCGCCAGGACCTCTACTCCACACCGAAGGTTTCCTGGAAACCTTGACGCTGAGCAGAGAGGACTGAGGTGACACCTGGGTCCTCGGGGGTCCAGTTGAGTCTCAGAGGAACCAGGTGTGTCCTCACGCTTCCCGGGGAGGGTGAGGCAAGCTCAGGAGCTCAGTGTGGTGATGTCTTGACTTAAAATGGGCATGAAAATCACGACTGGAACAAGTAGGGCACCGCTTAAAACGTGATAGTCATTCATTGCATGAAGTGGAGTAATCCCATCTGGTGGTGAAAGCATTGTGATCGCACAGGTGAAACATTCATCCAGCTTTACCCTGATGTTATCTTTCCTGCCATGTGAAAGTTCCGACAACTGCTTGTAACTACTCTTCCTTCACAACTGTATTGGAGGGTGACCGGTCAAGCTCGTAATTTAAAATCTTCACCAACAAAGTGTCTCAGAGCGTTTCTTTGGGTCCGGGGGTGCTGGGAAACACTGCTTCAAAGTAAAATCCTTCAGAAGTTGGCCTGGCCCCACAGGAGATAGCGGTCTGTTTCGGGAAGCCCGGTAGGTCCCCTCCTAAGGGCTCCTGCTCTCAAAGGCCCTCCCGGTCTGCCTGGCATGGAAGCTCTAGAAATCCATTCCTTTTCAAATAAATAAGTAATCCATTCCTTTAGATTTAACAATCCGAGTCCTCAGGAGGTTTGCTTTACGCTGTGACTGTGTGTATTACGCGGAGAGGACTTGAAGGGAGGGTATGGGGGAAAGGGGTAGAACTGAGAGGTAAAGGAGAAGGTGGGACAGAACAAGCCCTTTAGCTATTAATCTGTTCGGCTAAAGCTGGCTTTGTGCCATTTACTCCCAGTCCAAAGGGAGATTTTTGTCTTCCCATTCACATGACATACGTAATTATATTGGGGTTCATTTCTATTGGCCCAATGTTAACCCACCCTTGTGTCCTTTCTGCAGCGCCATAGAGTTTTCACATTTATTCCTCTGATGCTTAATCAGTGACCACAGTCCCTCGAGTCCAGGTCTTGTAACTCCAAAATCCATCAGTACTGGGCCCATTCTATCATGTTGCCTCATCCTCAGAAAGACTTAGTGACCTGGGGCCTGTCTGGTGCTGTCTGCTATTCTAACAACTTCAAAGAGAATTATCATTGAGCCTCACGTCCTAGCTACAGAGCTGAAAACTTCCCTAAGGAATTCTAGTAAAAGGTAGACATCGCTGAGTTCAGGCACCGAGAGGAGAGGTGTGGGAGCCCGTGGGCATCTCTCCCCCTGGTTCTGAGGAGCGTTACCCCCCGACTCATGGTGGGTTCACCTGGCAAGAAACCCATCATGTGTTGAAGATGCATTTGACACTGCCCTGTAGCAGCGATTTTCAACCTTGTTCACCTCACGGCACACAAATAATTACTAAAATTTGGCAGCACACCAAAAAACATATTTCTTGATGATCTGACACAAAAAAGGTGTAATTTTTATTGATTTACAAAAATACATATTAGTAATTACCCTTTTTGCTCCAAAGTGACTTTTTTAAAAATCTGGTACCTCTACTTGTATAGAAGGATTTCTGGTACCAAAAATTAACCAGTCAGATGCAGCCTTATTATGTGATGTATCCAATAAGATTCAACTCTTATTAAATGATCTATATATTTATGGTTCAATGCAAGGCACTCACACCTGGGCTGCTGTCATTTTTTTGTTTGACAATCTAATGGAACAGAGACGGTGCCCTGGCTGAAGAGTGAGGCATTGCATGTGTTAAAAACTGGCTCCTGGTTGCAAAGTGCTGCACTGGGGTATCAGCTGTTTACCCTGGGGATCGTGTGGCTGACGGGAGCTGTGGCTGGCCGCCCCTGCCCAGCACCAGGAGGGAGTATCGTAGGGCATATCACTAACCCAAGAAAAGATCAAATTCAAAATCTGAAGTATAGTTTCTCCTGAACGGGTGTCACTTTCACACCATCATAAAGTCAAAAACATCTAAATCTAACCATCGTAAGTCGGAGACCATCTACACTAATAAAAGAGAAAAATGGTAATTGGCATACCGCGCTACCCTTTTCATTGGCTAATCAGGGCTATATGCAAATTAACTGCCAACTAAGATGGCAGTTAACTGCCAACAAAGATGGCGGCTAATTTGCATATGTAGGCACAATGTAGGGAGGCGAAAGGGAAAGCAGGAAGAAGCCCCCTGCCACTGACAGTGATCGGAAACCCAGGGGGGAGCTAAGAGCTGGGGGGCAGGGCAAAGGCAGCCCTGGGGCCGCCTTTGCCCTGCCCCCCAGCCATGACCGGAGAATCAGGCACCTTTGCTGCCCTGGCCAGTGATAGCAGGAAGTAGGGGTGGAGTCAGCGATGGGAGCTGGGCACGGTCAAAGCTGGCAGTCCCGGGAGCTAGGGGTCCCTTGCCTGGGCCTAAAGCAGAGCCCACGATCGCGGGGCTGCTGCAGCTGCGGGTCCCCGCTGCCCGGGCCGGACGCCTAGGCCAGAGGCTTTAGGCCTGGGCAGGGGCGGAGCCTGCAACCGCGGGGAGCTGGGGGTTCCCTGCCCAGGCCTAATGCCTCAGCCAGAGGCGTTAGGCCTGGGCAGGGGCAGAGCGGGAGATTTCGGGGAGCTGGGAGTCCCCTGCCTAGGCCTAATGCCTTGGCCACAGGCGTTAGGCCTGGGCAGGGGCAGAGCGGGAGATTTCGGGGAGCTGGGAGTCCCCTGCCTAGGCCTAATGCCTTGGCCACAGGCGTTAGGCCTGGGCAGGGGCAGAGCCTGCACCCGTGGGGAGCTGGGGGTCCCCTGCCCAGGCCTAATGCCTCGGCCAGAGGCGTTAGGCCTGGGCAGGGGCGGAGCCTGCAACCGCGGGGAGCTGGGGATCCCCTGCCCAGGCCTGACACCTCTGCCGGAGGCCTCAGGCCTGGTCAAGGGGCCGATCCGGTGATTGGTGATCGGAGGGTGATGAGGGTCAACTCCTCTGGCCGAGGCATCAGGCCTGGGTGGGGGGCGGAGCCGGGGATTGGAGGGATATGATGGTCCCCTTGCCCAGGCCTGAAGCCTGGGTCAGAGGCGTCAGGCTTGGGCGGGGGGTGGAGCAAGCGATCAGAGGGAGATGGGGGTCCCCTGCCCAGGCATGATTCCTGGGCCAGAGGCCTCAGGCCTGGGTGGGGGTCAGAGCCAGTGATCAGGGGGAGATGGGAGTCCCCTGTCCAAGCCTGACACCTCTGGCGGAGGCGTCAGGCGATCGGAGGGTGATGGGGGTCTATGCCTCTGGCCGAGGCATCAGGCCTGGGCAAGGGGCAGAGCCAGCAATCGGAGGGGTCTGGGGGTCCCCTGCCCAGGCCTGACGCCTGGGCCAGAGGCATCAGTCCTGGGCTGGGGGCAGAACCAGTGATGGGGGGAAATGAGGGTCCCCTGCCCAGGCCTAACACCTCTGTCAGAGGCGTCAGGCCTGGGCAAGGGGCCGATCCTGCGATTGGAGGGTGATGGGGGTCAACGCCTGAGGGCTCCCAGTATGTGAGAGGGGGCAGGCTGGGCTGAGGGACATCCCCCCCCCCCAGGGCACGAATTTCGTGCACCGGGCCCCTAGTGTGTATATATATATATATATATATATATATATATATATATTCAGCTTGTAACTTCATAGCATCTCAAGGTGTTGTGAGGGGCCTGGAGTCCCTAATGTGCATCAGAATACCTTATTCCCTTTCACTGTTGTTGCTTATCAGGATAGAAAAAATTGTTTGGTGACCTCCAACTACCACCCTCATTTGTACAAGACCTAACTGCTCAACTAGCTATTGGACAGTGTTGCAATAAATAACCTGGTTCAAAACGCCTTGATTTCAGCTCTAATCCTGTTCACAGTGTTTTCATCCCTCCAGATCCTTCTGAAATGGTGAGATGGTGATTTAAAACTATGCTTTTTTTTTTTTTCCACGCAATGCAGTGGTCCAAATTCCAAAGGCAATCTAATTATAGATATTCTGTAAGGACAACCTGATCTCCCGCTGGCAGGAATGCATTGATCAAAAGTGAGGTTTTGTGATGTTATTGCTTTTCCTAATT